TTCCCTGCAGCCTTGAGCTGACGAGATTCATACGCAATGATGCGCTCATGTCCATCTACATCTGTCTGCAATAATGCACAACCAATATCAAAATCAGAGGTGTCACAGACGACACTGAAAGGCCTCTCGGGTTTAGGCAAAACCAAAATTGGAGCATGAAGGAGACGGTCCGTTATAGCTTCAAAAGCTTGAGCATGGACTGCGTCCTAGAACCAAACTGCATACGGCTTGTTTGTGCGCATGCACTCTAGCACTGCTCATAAACGGTAAATCTGATTATCCACATATGTTCTGCCATGTTCTGCACGAATATGGAAAAAAGATGTCATCGAGATAGCTTTGTGTGTATCCTCGGTGAGGTCCGAAAATTCGCGCTACAAGACGATTAAATGTAGCTAGGGAATTATAAAGCCCTTGAGGCATGACAAGCCACTCCCAAAGCATACCGCTTGGAGTGCTAACCGCTGTGAGCAATATACCACTCGATCGCGTGAGAAATTGAAAGTATTCATCGACTAAGCCGAGTGCACTGAACATGGCTCAACCTACCATAGCTTTCTGAAGATCATCCTTTCTAGGGATAGGCGTCTGTGCCGGTATAGTGGCTGCGTTGAGCTTATTGTAAATATGCACAATTTGCCACTTGTCATTTGGCTGTCTGACATAAAATGTCGGTGTCGAGTGCGGAGACTTTTGCTTACGCACCATGCCAGCCGCGTGCTTTGCACGAAATAACTCGTCAATGGCGTCACACTTCTCCTTTGGTAGGGGGCATCGCTATGTCACACAGTTTTTGGTTCCAGGGACCAGGTCAATTTCATGGCATACGCCTCGATCAGGAGGCAGAGTGGAAGGCGGATTGTGACACACCACATCTTGAAACTCCTTAACCAAGGATAAAACGGGTCGTTGGGATTTTTTTAAAATCGATGACCCACTTCGAGCACTCAGTGCCGCCTTTGTGTCTTCCAAGACAGCCTCGTCAAGAGGTGACGACGAGTTCAGCTCACTATCGAATCTAATGACCACCACTTCATATAACTCACCCGACTTCAAGGTCAGGCCAAACTCATCGACAGAAATGTCATATAGCTTTCTCACTGATCAATTAACTTCACCAGTCACTCCATTAACGAGTGTAAATATCTGCTCGCCAGTATCGCTCAGTGAAGTAACAGACGTCTTGCATTGCATAACAGCAATATGGCACTGCTGTCAGCTCTGTGACGATACTGATTGTATTAAAGAGACTGGAGCTTTCTCGCTTTCAAGGTTAATAGCATCATCTTTACTTGCTCTGTACAGGAGACGGTGTCATTACCGACACCCGGGACATCAATGTCCTCAAGATTAACATGACCGTCAACCCTAAGCTGCTCATTATCATATCCGATGTCTTTATTGACATCCAGAACTATACCGCCCCCAATGTGACGGAGTACGCCAACTTTAATTTGCCCAATATCAAAGCCGATGTCATTACCGAAATCTGGGACGACACTGTCCCCAAGGTGACGAACTGCGTCGACATTAATTTGCTCAATAGCAGGACTGATGTCATTGCCGACATCTGGGACTGCACGGTCCCCGAGGTGACGAACTGCGTCAGCCTTATTTCGATCTATTTAGGATCCAATGTCAATACTGACATCTGGTGATGAGTCACTGATCTCACTTCCAGTGAGATCATCATCTAGTGGGTACTTACGTGCCACTCCACGCTAATTAATTGGGCGTTGCCCTTGATGACTTAGTATTTCACCAGCAATGTCGTGACCGACATTCAGTGTGTCGCAAGAATGGCCAACCTTACTCAGTGGGTACTTACGTGCCAATCCACGCACCAGATGAGTTCAGCCTATGATGACTTGGCTAAAGGTCGACAATGCATTCAGCATTCAGTGATTCGTTCTCACAATGATTATCAATCGACAGAGTGCGTGCCGTCTCACTTACAGTAATTGAGCTTGGATCGTAACTAACATTTTTGACATCGTTCATCTCAATGAGTTCAGCCACATCGATGTCCAGCGCACTAACTATCTCAGTCTGTGGCTCGTTCCAATAGCGTTTCTGTTTCCTAGCAGAGGTGGTTCATCACTCTCCAAAGCCCCACTAGAAACAGTGCGCGTTTCGCCTAAGGTCTTTGACCTCCAATCAATCCATGGCTGATGGAGTTCTAGCCAAGCCATACCAAGAATGATATCATACCTCTTATCCGAGTCAAGGACCAGACAGCGTTCGATACTGTCAAAGTCCGAAATTCCACGCCTAAGTTCACAGAAACTTTAGACACAGTGACTTATGCACCTGTCGCAAAGCGAACAGTGATAGTCTCACTCTTTAGCGCTTTTAGTGCCTCAGCATACTGCTGACTCCTTTCCAGGGAACAACGTCGGACATAAATTTTTCGACTCTTCGGAGTCGATCAAGATCAACCATGGCTTATCAAAGCCCTTCACCGTTGCTTTTGCAACTAACAAGCCTGGCTTGTACTCATGATTCGTGACATTTCTCAAAAAGCCACTTGGAGCTCGGCACTGTTCTCCATCACCTCCCAGAGGTACAACAGAGCGTATGCTTTCCCCAGTAGAGTGCCCCGCGCCTACCGGGACTTGACATTTTCCCGCGCTTTACCGACTCGCTGGTTAGCGACGGGGGGGGGGTCGGCTAGAATGAGCCTGATTGGTCCTTCTCAAAAGACAATTGAGAAGAAGGTTTTTGATGCTTTCGCACGTAAGACATCTACGGATGTTTGAACGCAGATCGACAGCGTAAAGCTCAGCTTCTTCGTCTCTCTCAGCGAGACTAAGATCCATGGGTTCTGCTAAATCCATAAGATGAGCATTGCTCGACGAGTTAGGCTGCAACATATGGGTCCCGTAACGAGCAGTTTCAAAGTTGAACTCTGCGTTCAACGCTATGTCCACTCTCAAAAGTCAAGGGTTGTGTACGAAACACGTCTGTTCTGGCAACGCCAGTGCGTGAACCCTCCTTGAAATGGTTAACAAAACCGTCTAAGGTAAAGGGTTAAGTTGCATCGCCGCAATGAGAGTTTGCAACTTCTGGAACTAACCGACTAAGTCTTTTTACCCTGACGGGTTGACAGGAAGCGTGATCGCACGCGACATGCCTGATCAGGAGGGGCAAACACCCGGGAAAGCTGCTGTTTTAGCACAAACCAGGTGGGAAAAGCCTCGTCGATCGAGGTGCCAGAAGTGAACACCCACTCCCTTAATAGACCATCTAACTTCGATAGGGCCAGTCTCACATTTTGCTGCTCTGACCGCATCAGGGTCGAGCTATTGGCAACCTCCATCTCTCGAACCCACAAAAGGAGATTTCCTCCCTCTTTCCCCTCAAACGTCTTGACAATTAATGCCGGAGGGCGATTCCGTGACACAGCGTCTGGTATTGGAACATACTTAGTGGGCATGGCTGATGCCAAATGGTCGTGGACCTGTCCGATCAACGCGGACTCGAAGTTCGAGAAGGCCTCGAGGCGTGCACGAAGCGCTTCCGGGCCTTGCGACATTATAAGAGCCACTTACTCGTGCGTAATTAATGCCTTATGCTTCTCAATCTTGATCTGCTGGGCCTCATAGAAGTTCATGGCTGTTTCTGTACGAGGATTCAGTATGTGAAGACTCAGGTGTAGATTGACTACAAGTGCTACCAAGTGTAGCGGAGCTAGTTAGCGCTCCTTAACAGAAGAAGTTCGAGACACATAGAGACTTTTAGTCGTCTGAAACTAACAACAACATACAATCTTTTAAGCGTACGAGCTTAACAATTTTGGTTCCAAAAGGATGACGATTCACAGAATCACACACTGACTAGTCACTACTAGTTAAAGAAGAGTAAACGACTTCACAAGGCTAACACTCTTACAACACACCATGCATTAACTTATCACTAGTATCCAGCGATTCAAAAGGGGAACTGAACTTTGTTTATTCTTTAATTATGGCAATCAAACCATAAAACCTTGTCTGACTACTACATAACAGCTTTTTTTCATTAAGACTAATGATGTAAAACACCTGTAGGACTGACTCTATGTACGATCCTATGACAGAAGTCTTATCCCTTATTCCTAACCGATATGGTGCGGTGTTACCCTGAGCACATGGCACCAAGACTGTACCACTAAGATCCACCGATCTTTGCTTGGTGTGGACACGCAACATAACCGGTTCGATAACCGCATGTAACCCCGTTGCACTCGTAATCTCAAGTACACGTACGGGTTAGAGAAAGAGTTTAATACGAGATAAGGTTAAAAAGTAGAACTGTATTTAGCATAGTAAAACTTCTGTCAATGATCCTACTAAGCCTTCTTTTGACGATGCCTAGATACAAACATGTACTGTAACTATCTGCCCACCACTGATTGCGTTCTTCCGTCGTGGCTCGGCTTTATTAGTTGATATCATTATCCTAAATCAACCAATGAACACTGTATGGCTTCTGTATCACAAGGTAACCTTTTGATAATATTGTGTGAATATGATGTCTTTCGCAAACATAATATTTACACATCGTATTATCCTCATGTAAATACCATACAACGGACTCACCCCGTTACACAGTCACTAACAGCTTAATCCTTCCGGCTCGGAACCATATGAGGACGAGGTCCTGCATACGTCTGTAAGGACTGCTACGTCCCGACATTCACCGAAGTGAGGACAGCGTATTTGCATTGTGCGAGGTCACTATTACATTTTAATCAGTGCCTGTTGATATTGCGGTCGATGCAACACTTGTATCTTTCTTTTTGTGATTAATTACAATCAGAGTCTCTGTGCCGCCAACCGCTGTATACTTTGGTTCACACCTTAAATCTCTGAGCAGTCAATGCACAATTGCTTCGGCCTATTGTCGCTCAATCGCTTGCGTCCACGACGCCAAATCTAAATGAGGTGCTACACATTGGCATTGTTTAACGAAGGAGGCACGAATCCTTCGACAGAAGCCCTTTAAGAACCTTTACCACCTTATGCTTCATCAACATTCGCTGCAGCATTACGCGCCGCGTTATCAGCTATGTCATTCCACTCGGACGCCCAGTCCTTCTTGCCGGTATGAGCCTTCACGTGGGTCCAGCAAATGCGACGATTTCTTCTTTCCGCCACCAGTAGCTCCAGCAAATCGCGGTTCTGCACAGGTTTACCGTCTGACTTTCTCCATTCGTTCTTCTGCCACGTATCGACCCATTCTGTCATTGATCGAATCAACAGCATACTGTCTGAGAAGATATATAGCATTCGAGATCCACTAGAGTTTTCCGTGTTTGCACGCTTCATGGCTTCGAGCGCGGCCATGTACTCCGCCCGGTTGTTCGTAGCTCGGTCTTCAACCAGCTGCTTGGCTACATTCCACTCCTCGCAGTGCGGGAAAATGCAGGCATAGCCTGCACGACATTTCCGCCGTCCATTCCCCAGGGCACTCCCGTCACAGAACGCCACCAGACTCTTTACATTCTGCGGTCCTAGAGTGTTTTCGTGGCTCTCAACTGTTGCCATAGACTGCGTTGCAAGCACTTCTGGCTGCTTCCAAAGAGCCTTAGGGTTAAAGCTGCACGCATCTTTCGATTGTTTCGTGGTCTCTTTCCGCGTACCGAAGATGTCCGTCTTCCTGTCTTGTTTCACGTTAACACCAGCAGCAGCTCCAGCATTCTTACTACCGCTGATACTTAAGCCTTGTTTATCACTCTTCATCATTGACGCCAAAGAGCTCGATTGTACGGTCAAAGCGCCCATGTCAGCTTGTTTCGATCCAAAATCACTGCAGACCAGATGCATAGGACACCCCGTCGGTATCTTTAGCACATTCTTCTCGGAGTTTTCGTCGCAGGTCTTGCTGCCGTCAATTGCATCGGAAAGAAGTTCCTTTTCGATCGTGTTTACGTTTCTGGGCAGGAGACGAATTCATTTCGTCTGTCAGAAAGCTTGTATCGTGGGGTCGTTTTGGCAGTTGAGACTTAAGCCTTGCTGGGTCCACATCTCGGGAGCCATTGTTGTAGCCGTTCACAAACGCTTGGGCTTCAGCACACGTATTGAACTTCTTGTATCTACATCCTGCAAAGCCTTCCACTTGCGTCTTGCACTTGGCCCACGTCGTGAAGACGCCGGTGGAGCGTCCAATGGCTACGGCGTAGAACCCGCCCTTGGTCATGTTTGTTCGTTAGCTGATACGATGAGAGACGAAATGCCTATTTTAACGAAATTTCTTTTAACTTGACAAGAATACCGTATTTTGAGCCGCCAATCGGTATGCACGAGGACAGGTTCAAAGAAGCATGTGCTGTTTGGAAAGACGCGCGCGTTATGGTACTGTATATTGATCAAATTAAACGTGTGCATTGTGGGACTGTATCTATCTATCGTCCGGGATCGATGAAACATTGGCGTGGTGTAGTGGTATTTCACAGACTTCAGACTTCCGTTTAGGCCGCTTCTTATGATATTAAGAGCAGGGGGCTTACAGAGGACGAGTGATTACCGCAGGAGCTGAATCGTTTTTCCGCGCGGGTCATAATCGTCTGTCTAAACCCTTTCTAAAATAGATAACGAGGAACTACCGAGTCTTCCTTATAGGGGACCCGTACCACGAACGTATACCCCTTGTAGCATCACTCAGCATTGCCCTGCTGCACGTACAAATTAGCTGTTTCTTACTCCCACCTCCGGCTCTCATCGTCCACTCATCACTTGACGTCGCCTGCCCATCAGTCTCGTCAGCCTCGCCATTTGTCCAGCGAAATACTGATGTTTTCTAAGAAAAGTAGTGGTATAGTACAATAGCTGACACTACAGTGCGAGAACTTCCGTTTCGTTTTATGTAGAGGCAGACCATCGTTCAAACAATACCTTTTCACAGCAGGGCGTTACAGTATCGTAAGCTCAACGCGGGACCGACACGTTGCCACATCTCAACATGAATGACGTATTCGGCGAATCGCCGGCGACGATGAGGCAGCATCCATTATATTGTAGCAAAGAAAAATCGAGGAATGTGACAGTTTCAAAAGTGATACGAATAACGGTGCCCGTAACCAATAGATGCTAGATTTTGTTACTTCAGCGTTACACGATGCGCCTTTCTTACTTCAGCGTTCCAAGAAGAACTGCCAGATATTCCGCACTTCTAAATTTGCGCAGCCTTTCCAATCAGGTAGAACGCCGTCCTGTCAACGGTTTCAGCGAATTATAATTGATTGTGGCCATATTGGTTCGTTCGGACGGCTGTAGCTTCAAACGCACACCGTCCGTCCTTTTTTTTTTTGTTATCCATATCTTGTCGAAGCACATTAACACGGCTGTGTGGGAGTCGCTAACGAATCTGCTGGTGTTTGTCTTCTTCCCTCGGCAGCCTATCGCAACAAATTCGGGCCCGACGACCACCATGTTGAAGTCTAGACGCGTGGCTTTCAAGTTTGTCGCTCAGGAACAGAGGGAAGGTGCCGGAGCTACCGTGCGACGTTCGTTGGGCTCTCAGGAGCTTCGCAAACTGGACCCGTTCCTTTTGTTAGACGAGTTCAACGTTGGCCTACCCGGCGGCTTCCCTGACCACCCCCACCGAGGATTTGAGACTGTAACATACATGCTGCCGACTTCAATTGGACATATGCGCCACGAAGACTTTCTAGGCAACAAGGGCGAGCTCCGACCGGGAGACCTGCAATGGATGACCCCGGGCAAAGGCATTCTGCACGCTGAGATGCCGGCAAGTGAGTCAAAAGCTCATGGTCTACAGTTGTGGATCAATCTGCCAAAGGCTAAAAAGGCCATGGAGCCACGTTATCAGGAAATCGGTCGGAATTCCGTACCTCATGTGTGGGATAACACCAAGAAGGTGGAAGCAATCGTATTTGCAGGAGAGGTGTTTGGACAGAAAGGCCCGATTGAGACGGAAGCGCCTGTGACATTTATTCACTTTTTGATGAAGAAAGAGGCCGAGCTCGAATGCAAGATCCCTGCGGGTCATAACGCGTTCGTGTACATTTTGAGTGGCACTGGCAAGTGTGCAGGTGATCGCATTGAGGCCCACCATGCGATTGTCCTGGAACGAGATGGTGATGGCGTACATATAATAACGGACGACACAGCGGGGCTCGAATTTATCGTTATCAGTGGTCAACCTTTGAACGAGCCAGTGGTACAGCACGGTCCTTTTGTCATGACTTCAGAGGCAGAGATCCACCAGACCATTCACGACTACCAGACCGGCTCAAACGGGTTCGAGAATGCGCCACACTGGACGTCGACAATCGGTCGTTGAGTGCTGAACGATGTGTTAAGCTATACAGCTCCTACTGGGTGCAAAGCGCACATGTCGAATAGCTATAATACGAAGCTGCCATGATACATTCATTAAGAGCAACTGCTTGCAACCTAATACGAAGGTTGTGTTGACACCAGAAAGAGATTACTACTAGTGCGTATACATATGGTCCATGAGAAGATAAACCTGATTACGTTATGCTTCATAGAACCCGAGCCTAGCGACCCACGTCCGGCGAAACCTGATCCATCCGAACGACGCCAAATGACCGCGGAAAACAGCACTAGTTCACTCACCCCTCTCTATTAGAGACTTTTTATAACAGACAGCCTCTATATAAGAGTCACAATGTCGCCGAGTATTTCAAATTGTATAGGAATTTGTATGCCGGTCTTTTATAAGTGAGTACGATATAAGACACGAAAACGCTCGTCCATTTGAGCGGAAAACCTCTTAATATGATCCACACTACCCCTACTTCTGCTGCTCGAACGAAACATTTGGCATACGATGTGACAGTTGTTTTGGCCGAAGATTTGCCAGAGACTTAAGCCGATTCCGCACCGTCATAGGACCTCGAACGTGATCTACGGGAATGTCTAAATAGGAGGTCATTTGATGTACTATTCGCTGATGAAGTCATGACGACAAATGCAACAGACAAAAGTTAACAGATCACGAATCGTAACACAGTCCTCCTGAGTCCTAACACGCATATTGAGACATGACCAGTTTATGACATCAATTGATTTGTCCTTTTTTGTAACGAAGGGGATGGGCAGGTAAGGGGAGATTGTAACGGGGTGAATCGTTCCATAACAATTTATAAGAAATTGTTAATAGAATATAACTATAAGAGTTATATTCTCAGCATATTGTCATAAGGACAAATATTCTGTAGCACTTACGAGTAGTTCCTAATTGGTTGATATAGGCCATTATATCAACCAACGAAGACGCGCCACGACAGACGCACGCAATGAGTGGTGAGCAGATAGTTGATTTACACATTTGTGTTCAGACATAGTTAGATGAAGATAAACAGTGATTTATTGCAGACATTAACTATACTAAATACAGTTCTACTTTTTACTTAAACCAAGTACTCGCTTCTTCTTACCGTCTTCCTCTGCACGTACGAGTGTACGCGAAGTTCCGAGGCACCGCCTTATTCTGTCATCAGAATAAGTAGCTTGTACTGTCATCAGTACAAGCTTCAGGGTGCCCCATTACACCTGGTAGCACTTCGTAGTCCGTCCAAGGACCACGTTCACATCTAACATGAATATGTTGGATGATGAAGATGACCAAAGCTTTCACGCTACGCGTGACGGCTACTCCCATTTGAGCAATGTTGAATGGGATGCGGTTGAACGGATGGGTTCAACCATGGACATCCATGCTGTTAGCATCATGCTAGAGGCTCTCAATAGAGATGCTCAACATGCTACTATCGCCAAGTTCATTCAAAATGAACTTGACGCAGAACGCGAGAAAGTAGCCTTGCTTCACCAACAAGGTTCTCAACAAGCAGAGTTGTTGAGAGAACAGGGTGCTCAACAGTTTGAACTGTTGAGACAGCAGCAGGCTGCTGCTGGTGGGTCGATGCATTCGTGTCGACCCGAAACCTTGAAGATTGACATCTCCAAGTATAGGGGAGTCGAAGAGGACTCCCTCTTGAGATGGTTCGTCGAATTAGACGACGCCACAAGGGCGCGTCGCATCGACGATGGGGAAATGCAAGTTGCATTTGCCCAGTCAAATCTGGCAGGACGTGTCAAGACTTGGCACTGGGGCTCAAGTTGCACGACCCATATGCGTTTGGGTCGTTGGAAGTCTTCAAGTCGCGGCTCAGACAAACGTTTGAACCGCCTAGAGCTGAGTTCAGAGCTCGAACTGAACTCTTGAAGCTCAAGCAGGGTAAGCGTGATGTGCACGCTTACGCGCAACATATAAGACATCTCACGAGTCGTGTAAGTTCCAACCCGGTTGATGAACACACGTCGGTTTCGGTGTTCATGCAGGGTCTTGCGGATGGTCCCGTCAAGACTCACCTGTTCCGACTTGAACTATATTCACTAGAACAAGCCATTTCCATTGCGGAATAGGAAGACTTCAGTCTGAGACAGGCTCGCTCCAGCTCGACATCATATCGTCAACCGAGACGATATGACAACGGAGGTCCAGAGCCGATGGAACTCTGTTATGTAGAGAGCGAGAAGGCCCGCTCTACAGGCTACAAGAAGTTGCAGAAATGCAACAGATGTCAAAAGGCAGGACACTACGCTTACGAGTGTAGTGCCCCTCGTCCAGTGTCTCGCAACACTGGGCGTAGTGACCGTCCACCCATGAGAAAGGGGCAGGAACGCGGGTCCGCTGTTGGTGCAAAGACGCAACAACGGGATGGGCCGTAAAAAACGGACAAGATCAGTAGGTGCGGAGCACCCTACTGGTCCAGCAACGTCAACAGAATTTGTAGGCCTCTTGATGAAGGTTGCTTCCAACACACAAACGTTGTGCGTTGCTGCTCTAGGTAATGAGATCTCACTCATTGCCTTGAAACTCGAAGTGACGAATAAGTTGTCCCTTCGAGCTCTAGTCGATTGTGGGGCGTCTAACAATTTTGTGCAACGCCAATCGCTAGAAGATGGTCACTTTGATTTTAGTGAATGTGACACACCTACTACGAGGATGGCGGTACGTCTTGCGACAGGCGCATCCGTAACCTTCATGAAGCGTATAGTGAAGATTCACTGTACGCTAGAAGATACCCAATATGACGACGACTTTATCGTATTGGATTTGGATGACAAATTTGATGTCATCCTTGGAATACCGTGGCTCAGAAGGTACGAACCACGGGTAAACTGGCAACATCGGACAGTAACGATGCCTGCCGCATGTTCATCAGATGGCCATCTGATGAACGTTTTGGAGCGTCCACAAGCGTGTGGATGTACTACGAGTGAGTGCGATGGCCTCACTTGTGGTACGGTCGTTAGTACGACTGAACGAAACATTAGTGTAACAAGCAGTTACACTTTGGAGCAAGCTTCCGGCGGCTGTGAGGAAACACAGGCTGCGCCGAAGGTCCACCACTCGAATAAGTCGAGTGGACCGGGACAAAGATGTATCCCTAGCGTGGAACATCTCGAAGAGAAACCATTGATCGCTCAGGTTAAGCGAAACGATAATCCTAGATCGACTGGAGAGTCTTTCGTAGAGGATCTCGCTGTGGTTGCGCAACCCCAGCTAGAGGAAGTAAAGGGAACAAGTCCCAAGATTACAAATACGGCGGAAATAGTTCCCCCAAAACCCGCGGGAATAAGTACCCTGGAAGCCGAAGGAATAAGTCCTTCGAGGCCTGAGGGAATAAGTCCCCAGGAAGTGACAGAGACATTGAATGTCATAGTCAATAACGGATCAAGTGTAAGCGCTTATACACTTGATCTGATTGCGCCTCCGAAGTTGACTTCGGAGATCACTCAGTTGCCAACGCTCGAACACAAAAGGTTCTTTGCGTGATCTGCGTAGTGGCAAAGTCAAGCAGATCTGCGTACTCGTCGCTGACGACGAGTGTGTAGCCGACATAAGGTCAGCAACAGTATTCACTGATAACGAGAGAGTTCCTAGTAGTTCATCTATGGACGAGATTGTCCTCGATGAAAAGACGCGAGTTGAGCGATATGACTCCCAATCGTGGGAATCGCTCAAGACAAATCCTCCCTATAAAGATTTGGTTGAATTCAAGGATGCATTCCCTGAAACTGTTCCGTGCGAATTACCGAAGGATAAAGGTACTCGACACGAGGTCGAACTTAAACCAGGCTCGAAGTACTGTGTCATGAAGCAGTGGCCACCGCCTCGTGAACAAGTACTTGCGATCGACAAGTTCTTTGCCGATCGTTTAGCTGCGGGCCATGTGAGGGAATCAACTTCCCCACATAGCTCTCCGACCTTCTGTGTGCGAAAAGCAACAGGAGGGTGGCGGATAGTGCACGCGTTCAACAAATTGAACGCTGCAACGGTACCGGCTCAGACGCCGATACCAAGGAAGGACGTAATCATTGATGGTATGTCAAAGAGTACCATCTTTTCGTCCATGGATTTGATGGATGGCTTCTATCAAATCCTTATGCGAGAACGGGATATACCCTATACCGCAGTTAGCACGCCTAGCGGCATGCTCTGGGAATGGCTAGTAATGCCACAAGGGCTTAGTAATGCCCCTGCCACGTTCAACAGATGTGATACACATCTGTTGAGACCAGTACGAGAATTCGCGCCGAGTTATTTCGATGACGTATTCATCCATAATCGGGCTATGGATGGTAAGTCGGACGTTGAGGTTCACAGGTACCACGTCCGACAGGTTCTTACAATCATGCGAAAGCATCAATTGTATGCAAACCTCAAGAAGTGTATATTTGCAGCAAGCGAAATACCACTTCTTGGGTGCATCGTTGGTAAGAACGGTGTACGTCCTGATCCTGAAAAGATCAAGGCGATCACCGACTGGCCTGTGCCGGTTGATGTCAAAGGTCTTCGAAAATTCCTTGGGCTAGCGGCGTATTTGCATAAGTATTCACGCAATTACGCCGAGATGACTGTACACCTCTCTCGTTTGTTGAAAAAGAACGAGAGGTGGTTATGGAACGCTGGATGTCAGCGCTCCTTTGATGGTATCAAGCAGAGCTTGATAGAATCCCCAGTCCTAGCAATAGCCGATCAGGACAGGACATTTCATGTGGTCTGTGATGCCAGCGATTTCGCAATCGGCTGTGCATTAATGCAGTACGATCTTGAAGGCGTTGAACGCGTCGTCTGCTATCAGTCGCGTCAGCTGCAACCAGCTGAGCGGAACTATCCAGTGCATGACAAGGAACTCCTTGCCATGAAGTATGCACTCGCGAAGTTCAGAGTCTATCTATTAGGAGATAGACCCTTCATTGTTTACACTGACCATGCGTCATTACGCACGGCAGTGAACAGCCCGCACCTTTCACAACGAATGGCGCGGTGGTTGTCATTCTTTGCAGAATACAACTTTACGGTCGAGTACAAACCAGGACGACTTAATGTCGTCGCTGATGCACTCTCACGTCGTCCCGACTTTGAAACAGTCGCGAAACCCAACAGTGAGACAGTCACTGTTGCGGTTATGACGTCCTCAGTCCCATCTACAACGTTGTATGATGATGTGAGGCGGGCATACGCCCAAGATGGTGAGATAGTGAAGTTGTTGACACATCTCTCCCAACCATCCCGAGAATCGTTGAAACGATTGTCGCCTGCGTATCGATCTGCATCAGATCGATACACTACTCGTAACGGTTTACTGTATTATACAGCCGTTTCTCGTGACACACCACGTGTTGTCATTCCAGATGATACTGATCTGCGTTTGCGGATCATGTTCGAGATATCACGATGCTCCTATAGGAGGACATCGTGGCCGGGAGAAAACGTATCTCACGGTGAGTCGAGACTTTTACTGGCCCCGCCAGTATCAGTTTGTGCGCAAGTATGTTCTCGCATGAGAAGTCTCGCCAACGAGTGAAGTCAAGTCCTTCACTGCGTGCACCTTTACAGCCTCTACCGATTCCGGCTGAGTGCTGGGAATCCATCTCAATGGATTTCGTCTTCGGGTTACCCAAAGACGCACGCGGGGATACGGGTATTCTCGTATTTGTTGACAGATTCAGCAAAATGGTACACCTTGTGGCTATACCAGAGACAATCACGGCAAGTGGCTGTGCTTGTGTCTTTATTGACACCATCTTCCGACTTCATGGGTTGCCCCGTGAACTCGTATCAGACAGAGATCCACGATTCACTGCTGAATTCTGGCGTTCCGTGTTCAAATCACTCGGAACGCGCTTGAAGATGTCTACATCTGATCATCCAGAGTCAGATGGTCAGACGGAACGTGCCAACCGTGTCCTTGAAGAGATACTTCGAGGATACGTACACTCCTTTAAGAGTTGGAGTGAGTTTTTGCCAATGGTAGAGTTTGCCATTAACAACTCGGTGCATGCGTCCACGACACATACACCGTTTTACGTGAATGGCTTGCGCCATCCGCGTGTACCCACCTTACTAGAGTGTAACTCTGGTTTAAGGGGGGGAGGGACTCGCGCGAGCAAAAACCGATTTGGTTCACGCTCATCACGCTCTGACGAAGAGATCATTGCGTTTGATGCCGATATCGATAACATCGATATCGAAGAAGATGATGCCAGTGAGAGTGCGGAAGCCCTCACTGAAGAAAAGGTTGATGTTGCTGCAGTGCGCTCACAGCGCACTGAAGCTAACGAGTCATCAGATGAGTTCATACTGGCTCGTGAAACGGTAGTCCGTTTTGTGCAAGACTCCATCGCCGAAGCGGTGGATAAGCGAAAGCAAAACGCTGATAAGAATGGAAGGGCAAACACTCTTTTATTTAATAAAGGTGACTTAGTCCTACTGTCTACGGTTAACCTACCAAAGCACGTAGTGACTAACTTGGGTAGCAGTAAACTACTACCCAAGTACATAGGCCCATTTCGTGTATTGCATCGCCTAGGCTACGCACACACGATCGAACTGCCACGTAAGATGCGAACGCATCCCACGTTTTACGTTGGTCGGCTTAAGCCGTACCATCAGTACGCTGCTTCTTCCGATGAAGAACGCCCTTGCGCTCAAGCATCTCGCAGAGAGCCTTGTGCTCCCGATGGTGGGCATCAACAAGGGTCTGAAGAGCAGCTATCTGATCCCGAGACCGGTCAACATTCCCACGAGCTACCCTTAGCTCGTCACGAAGAGACGTCAAAGCTCTCTCGTTTTCAAGCTGATCAAAGGCAAACTCAGCTCGATGCTTCGAGACAGTGTCCGCCAGTTGGAGACGCCTGTCCCGCTCATGCTCGAGGTCGCCGCGCAACGATCAAAGATGCTCTCGGGGACACACGCTCCCCCACGATTGTGTGGAGAGCGTCTTACCTCCTCCTCCACCTCCATTAGAGGACTCTCGCGGTGGCCAGCGCTATCTAGTTGAGAAGCTGTTGAACCACCGCGACGTGAACGGACGTCGGACGAGTTATCTCGTCCGGTGGCGCGGCTATCCCCCGTCCTGGGATTCTTGGGAGCCCCGCTCCCAATTGATGATCGACGTACTGGGTCTGGTTGAGCAGTACGACGCGGCACATCCTGTGCCGCAGAAGGACCACCGGAGAAAGTCTTCCCGGCACGGTCGTAAAGGGATTTCAAGTTGTCAATCCCTTCGTACATCTCAGTAGAGATACATACGCGCCACCAAGGGCTAGTAAGGAGGTAAGCCTCCTTAGGTGCTCGTGCAGAGTTGTTCACACAACATGGGCACGAGTCTCCCCAAGAGAGGCAGGGTAATCCTTTCTCCCTTGACAGACGATGCAGCTTGTAGCGTGCACCTGTCGGGGTTCGCTTTTCAAACTTATCACGAGCTTTGATAAGTTTGTCGTTCCAAACGTCACGACCTACATCCTCGAGGTTATGGATGTAGGTGTTCCACGCTTGAAGTAGTGAGGGACCATCACGTTTGTGATTCCCACTGTACCATCGATGTCTAAAGAAAGCATAGATGAAGAATTCATGTTCAGCGCGATAGGTTTTCGCGCTGGGGGTCAAGGTGATGGATCCTTGACGAATCGAACAACCGTGTTCGATAACGATCACTCGTCGTCGTCGACAAGTGATCCATGACTGATTTGGGAGGCATCCATGCCTTCTTCTCGGGAGCGAGACGCAAGACATTGCGGTCCCGCTCTTCTTGCGACGTGCCGACGGAAGTACTGACACCTCGTTGCGAAGTGGTGTCCATAGGAGAACCGACACCACTGTTAGCGCCCGAGTCTCGCGACCTCGAGCGCCTTCGCTTCGGCGATGGTTCATCTAATTCATCAGATGAACCAAAGATGCTGCGACGCAAAGCATCGTCCATGCCACGCTTGGCGGGCGGCTTGGATTCGATCGCCGTCGATACGGATCCGTCTTCCGTATCAGGAGAGTACGAGACACCGAGCTCATACTCTGTGAAGACATGAGTGTCTTCATGACCAGCGCCTGCATCACCAGGTGACACAGGCTGAGTCGCTTCAGCAACCGATGAGACATCAGTTGCTGCGGTTTCTGCTTCGGCGTCCGCACAGAGACGTGCGGACGCGCTCTCGGCCGGCCTTGCTCGCGCATCGCATGGGCTTGTTAACCATGCGATGAATTGTTGGAAAGTGGATTCGGACCAACAAGTGCAAACCCTGTCCCAAATGATTTGGGACAAGTATCCATTTAGTCAATCAGTCACTAAAGTGACTGATGGTTAAGGGGGGGGTGATGTAACGGGTGAATCGTTACATAACAATTTACAAGAAATTGTTAATAGAATATAACTATAAGAGTTTTATTCTCAGAATATTGTCATAAGGACAAATATTCTGTAGCACTTACGAGTAGTTCCTAATTGGTTGATATAGGCCATTATATCAACCAACGAAGACGCGCCACGACAGACGCACGCAATGAGTGGTGAGCAGATAGCTGATTTACACACTTGTATTTAGACATAGTTAGATGAAGATAAACAGTGATTTATTGCAGACATTAACTATACTAAATACAGTTCTACTTTTTACTTAAACTAAGTACTCGCTTCTCCTTACCGTCTTCCTCTGCACGTACGAGTGTACGTGAAGTTACGAGGCACCGCCTTATTCTGTCATCAGAATAAGTAGCTTGTACTGTCATCAGTACAAGCTTCAGGGTGCCCCGTTACAGAGATAACCTGGAAGCGCGGGCTGGGCAGGACTCATAGCAGCGTGTATCTTGTTGTCAAGCTCCAAAGCAAGTCTGGGCCTTAACAGCGCCTTACGCACTATCAGATCTGGACGGGATATCGGATCGCAACGTATCAATTTAATTTGCACCATGCAAAGCGCCTCAACCACAACCTTTGTCGAAAGCAACCGATGTAACGGGGCACCCTGAAGCTTGTACTGATGACAGTACAAGCTACTTATTCTGATGACAGAATAAGGCGGTGCCTCGGAACTTCACGTACACTGGTACGTGCAGAGGAAGACGGTAAGAAGAAGCGAGTACTTGGTTTAAGTAAAAAGTAGAACTGTATTTAGTATAGTTAATGTCTGCAATAAACCACTGTTTATCCTCATCTAACTATGTCTAAATACATATGTGTATATCAACTATCTGCTCACCACTCATTGCGTGCGTCTGTCGTGGCGCGTCTTCGTTGGTTGATATAATGGCCTATATCAACCAATTAGGAACTACTCGTAAGTGCTACAGAATATTTGTCCTTATGACAATATTCTGAGAATAAAACTCTTATAGTTATATTCTATTAACAATTTCTTGTAAATTGTTATGTAACGATTCACCCGTTACATCACCCCCCCCTTAACCATCAGTCACTTTAGTGACTGATTGACTAAATGGATACTTGTCCCAAATCATTTGGGACAGGGTTTGCACTTGTTGGTCCGAGTCCACTTTCCAACAATTCATCGCATGGTTAACAAGCCCATGCGATGCGCGAGCAAGGCCGCCGAGAGCGCGTCCGCACGTCTCTGTGCGGACGCCGAAGCAGAAACCGCAGCAACTGATGTCTCATCGGTTGCTGAAGCGACTCAGCCTGTGTCACCTGGTGATGCAGGCGCTGGTCATGAAGACACTCATGTCTTCACAGAGTATGAGCTCGGTGTCTCGTACTCTCCTGATACGGAAGACGGATCCGTATCGACGGCGATCGAATCCAAGCCGCCCGCCAAGCGTGGCATGGACGATGCTTTGCGTCGCAGCATCTTTGGTTCATCTGATGAATTAGATGAACCATCGCCGAAGCGAAGGCGCTCGAGGTCGCGAGACTCGGGCGCTAACAGTGGTGTCGGTTCTCCTATGGACACCACTTCGCAACGAGGTGTCAGTACTTCCGTCGGCACGTCGCAAGAAGAGCGGGACCGCAATGTCTTGCGTCTCGCTCCCGAGAAGAAGGCATGGATGCCTCCCAAATCAGTCATGGATCACTTGTCGACGACGACGAGTGATCGTTATCGAACACGGTTGTTCGATTCGTCAAGGATCCATCACCTTGACCCCAGCGCGAAAACCTATCGCGCTGAACATGAATTCTTCATCTATGCTTTCTTTAGACATCGATGGTACAGTGGGAATCACAAACGTGATGGTCCCTCACTACTTCAAGCGTGGAACACCTACATCCATAACCTCGAGGATGTAGGTCGTGACGTTTGGAACGACAAACTTATCAAAGCTCGTGATAAGTTTGAAAAGCGAACCCCGACAGGTGCACGCTACAAGCTGCATCGTCTGTCAAGGGAGAAAGGATTACCCTGCCTCTCTTGGGGAGACTCGTGCCCATGTTGTGTGAACAACTCTGCACGAGCACCTAAGGAGGCTTACCTCCTTACTAGCCCTTGGTGGCGCGTATGTATCTCTACTGAGATGTACGAAGGGATTGACAACTTGAAATCCCTTTACGACCGTGCCGGGAAGACTTTCTCCGGTGGTCCTTCTGCGGCACAGGATGTGCCGCGTCGTACTGCTCAACCAGACCCAGTACGTCGATCATCAATTGGGAGCGGGGCTCCCAAGAATCCCAGGACGGGGGATAGCCGCGCCACCGGACGAGATAACTCGTCCGACGTCCGTTCACGTCGCGGTGGTTCAACAGCTTCTCAACTAGATAGCGCTGGCCACCGCGAGAGTCCTCTAATGGAGGTGGAGGAGGAGGTAAGACGCTCTCCACACAATCGTGGGGGAGCGTGTGTCCCCGAGAGCATCTTTGATCGTGTAACTCTTGCGTTGCGCGGCGACCTCGAGCATGAGCGGGACAGGCGTCTCCAACTGGCGGACACTGTCTCGAAGCATCGAGCTGAGTTTGCCTTTGCTCAGCTTGAAAACGAGAGAGCTTTGACGTCTCTTCGTGACGAGCTAAGGGTAGCTCGTGGGAATGTTGACCGGTCTCGGGATCAGATAGCTGCTCTTCAGACCCTTGTTGATGCCCACCATCGGGAGCACAAGGCTCTCTGCGAGATGCTTGAGCGCAAGGGCGTTCTTCATCGGAAGAAGCAGCGTACTGATGGTACGGCTTAAGCCGACCAACGTAAAACGTGGGATGCGTTCGCATCTTACGTGGCAGTTCGATCGTGTGTGCGTAGCCTAGGCGATGCATACACGAAATGGGCCTATGTACTTGGGTAGTAGTTTACTGCTACCCAAGTTAGTCACTACGTGCTTTGGTATGTTAACCGTAGACAGTAGGACTAAGTCACCTTTATTAAATAAAAGAGTGTTTGCCCTTCCATTCTTATCAGCGTTTTGCTTTCGCTTATCCACCGCTTCGGCGATGGAGTCTTGCACAAAACGGACTACCGTTTCACGAGCCAGTATGAACTCATCTGATGACTCGTTAGCTTCAGTGCACTGTGAGCGCACTGCAGCAACATCAACCTTTTCTTCCGTGAGGGCTTCCGCACTCTCACTGGCATCATCTTCTTCGATATCGATGTTATCGATATCGGCATCAAACGCAATGATCTCTTCGTCAGAGCGTGATGAGCGTGAACCAAATCGGTTTTTGCTCGCGCGAGTCCCTCCCCCCCTTAAACCAGAGTTACACTCTAGTAAGGTGGGTACACGCGGATGGCGCAAGCCATTCACGTAAAACGGTGTATGTGTCGTGGACGCATGCACCGAGTTGTTAATGGCAAACTCTACCATTGGCAAAAACTCACTCCAACTCTTAAAGGAGTGTACGTATCCTCGAAGTATCTCTTCAAGGACACGGTTGGCACGTTCCGTCTGACCATCTGACTCTGGATGATCAGATGTAGACATCTTCAAGCGCGTTCCGAGTGATTTGAACACGGAACGCCAGAATTCAGCAGTGAATCGTGGATCTCTGTCTGATACGAGTTCACGGGGCAACCCATGAAGTCGGAAGATGGTGTCAATAAAGACACAAGCACAGCCACTTGCCGTGATTGTCTCTGGTATAGCCACAAGGTGTACCATTTTGCTGAATCTGTCAACAAATACGAGAATACCCGTATCCCCGCGTGCGTCTTTGGGTAACCCGAAGACGAAATCCATTGAGATGGATTCCCAGCACTCAGCCGGAATCGGTAGAGGCTGTAAAGGTGCACGCAGTGAAGGACTTGACTTCACTCGTTGGCAGACTTCTCATGCGAGAACATACTTGCGCACAAACTGATACT